GAGAGCGAGAAGCAGGCAGAGACTGAGGATTTCGATGTGGATGCAGCTGACACCGATGAAGGTAATCTTTCGTGTTCTAGGAGTCCTGAGTGTTTCAGCTAGGCTGTTAATTTCGCTACTTACCGGAACAAAATTTGAAATATTTCTATTTAATTTCATTGTTTTATGCAAATGTGGTACAGATTATGAATGTGACACCGATGAGGAGAGCGAGAAGCAGGCAGAGACTGCTAGTGCCGAACCCAAGTCAAAAGCTTGAAGCCGTTGTGGTCTATGTTGTCAGTGTACCTTAAGTTTGATCTTGTGAATAACCACAGAGAGCCTTTTTAGAGATTTTTTTTAAATTTATTTATGTAGTTTCTTGTGATATCTGGTTGGTTACATTGGTATTGTCCTTTTATTAACTATGGGAATTTAGACCCAGAAATATTTACGATGGGAAAAATTACAGAAAATATGTGTCAAAATTGAAAATTTCAGTTTTTAACATTTCATTAAAAAAACTAATTTTCGGGACTTATTTTTCCAATAAAATATTAAAAAATCAATTTTTTTTTTTTTTTGTTTTTTGAATTTCGTCTTAGAAACAGTGATGTTAAGCCTTTCCTTGACATCCATTTTCTTTCTCATTTTTTTCTCTTTCTTCATTTCAACCACACATTCTATCAATAAATAATATTACCCTAATTGTAGGTTCTCTTTTGGACCTAAACTTGTAAGCCCAAATACTTCTCTTTCAGTGTGTGGGCTCTCTATTTTGTCTCATTGGGCCCCGAAGGAGTGTGGGGCTCTGTTAAAGGGAAAATTACACAAATCAGGTGTTTAAATATTGAAATTCAAAAATCAAGGAGCAAATTTCATTAATCAAAAATCGGGTATGAATATAATTATCTACACCTAATTCAATTTGAAACCCTAATCATTTCCCTTCATAATTTTCTTTCCACCTTCTCTATTCTCTCTCTCTCTCTCTAAACGTCGCACTTTTCCTCTTCTCCCATCTTCTCTCATTCTCTTCATGGTTGCAGTGGCGACTCTCGTGATGCATCATCGCTGTTGCCGGTGGGTAGTGGAGGCAGTCGTCATCGCCCATCGCTATGTGGGGGATGTAGCGTCGACAACCATCTGGAGAGAAAGAGGTGAGAAGCAAGAGTTTTAGAGAGAGAGGAGGGAGACGCTATAGTCCGATGTCGCGCACGCAACAGTACAGATCCGCTACGCAACAGTGGTGGCGATGGCGTGGTGCTGTGGTGTTTGATCAATTGTGGTGGTGCAAATGTGGTGTGTGGTGGTTCGAATCTGGTTGGGGTGGTGGTGATAGTGTGTGGTTGGATGCGGTGGTGGTGAGTTTGTTAGCAATGATGTTGGTGGCCGTGGTGGTGATAGCGGCAGCAGGGTGAGGGTGGTCAAAAGTGGCTAAAGTGGTAGTGCCGTGGAATGTGATCAAGTATTTAATTGTGACCTAAAATAATTAATTATGACCAAAAAATTATTAATTGTGACCAATAAATTGATAAATTGTGACGTAAA